GACAGCTTAACATAAATTGTATTGCACCATCATTATTATGAAAATACATCTTCTGTAGAAATTTCCATACCTTGTTGGGAGGAAGAAAATCTGGCTGGCTCCATTCTCGTCTGACTTTCTCTCCTCACTCTCCTAAACCTCCAAACTGTCTCCAAACTCTCACTAACCGCAACTCTCCATCAAACACCTACATTTTGAATGAACTCTGAAGGGTTTAAATCGCTGTCATAGCTCGCGGCAAAGTTCGAACCACTTCCTGAACCAGTCACGTGGTACAGCCGGGCAGCGAGGCTTCGGACGTCATCATTTTCAGCTCCTCCCATAAATGAAGCAAGCCTCGATACGCGCATCGCGGAAACGCCCCCTCAATTACTCGACACAAGCTTTGAAGCCTCGATACAGAACGTCACATCACTAGCTGCATGCTCCTCTGCAAAACAAGTGCAAAAACGCCATTGATCCTCAGTGATACTGCACATTGCTTGTAATTTGTAACATTTATACATCCTGCATCTTTTATACTGAATACTAATGTAATGAAAGCTCAAGAATGGGTGAAGAAGATCTACATCCACCATACTGATACCTGATAAAATTATAGGCTTGAAAGGATGATGGTGTTGTATAAGATGACTGCTATTTATTTATATTTTGTTACAAAAATGTCCAATGAATTATATAAATAACAGTTAGCACTGTTGCCTCACCGAGAGAAAGTCCTAGGTTCGAACATAGGGTTTCCCACAGTCCAAAGACATGCAGTTAGTGGGGTTAGATTAACTGGGATTCTAAATTGCCCATAGGTGTGAATGATGTGTGTCTCTCTGTGTTAGCCCTGCAGTGGACTGACAGCCTGTCCAGGCTCCAGCCCCCTATTGACCCTGAAATGGATAAGTGGGACAGAATGGATGGATGATATGTTTGCAAACATGCATGGAAACCAGAGGGGAAACAATTCTAACCAGTTTGAAAGCCAGTATGTCCACCTTTGCTTCAACACAGCCTGAACTCTCTTAGGCAAGCTTACTTCTCATTTCTTTAGGATCGCCTGGCTTCTTGAAGGACTTTAAAACCTTTTCGTTATATGTTGGCTGTACCTTGTTCCGCTCTCTGTCAACATGATCCTGCATGCTTTGAAAGCATTTGTGCTCAATTAGATTAGAAAAAACACTATTTACCAGTCCACTGTGTGTATTATCAATAATAATTAATTATCAATTATGCTTTTACTGCATTGGCAGTGTGTTTGGAATCATTGTCATACTGAAATGTGAAGCTGCTGCCAATCAGACTCATGGCAGATCGAATTCGGACCCAACTTCTCCTCACAACTCTGTTTTGACAAGATCCCCCAAACCACGTGATTAAATCTCCATCACAATAGTGCTGAATTAGCACCTGAAGATTTTAGCATCCCCTTTCATTGCTACACGTCAGACGAGGAAACAAGTTTGTCTAAAAGCAACGAGCGCACAGACGAGTGAGACGAAGGTTTCATTGAAATGCAAATGCAATTTTATATTAAAAGATAGCAAAGGGATAATTCACTATATCACACAACACAGCTTGTTAGTACTGCCATACATATACAGTCTTTTCATATTTACACATCAAGTGACAACGAAAACGAAAATCATAAATATCTCTTTTTGTTAACTTTACAACAGCTATACGTGACCAGTATTTCATAAGATAAAAGAGCACTATTAAATAACTGGCATCTTCCCTATCATTTACAAGGCTTGGGAACACAGTGGTTAAAATAATCCAGCAAAAACAAAACAAAACAAAACAAAAAAAACCAAAAACATTGTTCTTTTCCAGTGAGTAAAATTAATACAAGTCTAAAAACGGTCATGAAATCCCTTTGTACAAAAGACTATACAACTCAACCCAGTATCAACAAAAATGTTTGCTTACATCCGCGTGATAAAATCTGTACAGTTTTAGCATTCCTGCAGCAGAGTTGGAGGGACTGTGAGTGTGGATTACTGGATCCTGGGTCGCTATGATGCTCTGTAGGCCTGCCTTCGACCAACCATCAGAGACTGTAGTCATGTAGCTGCCAAGCCCCTCTCTCATTGGCCTCAGTGCTTCGTCTAGCAGCAGATCAGCATGTTGCTGAGCTTGTAGCAGATACTTCAAAATACACGATTCTATAATGTGTCAAAGATATATTTGTCCATATAGCAATATAGTATTTTCATTTGCGCCACAATCGACAGGCAGAATGGGGCGCTAAAAATAAAGCAATGCGAGATAGCCATTAAATTCACTTCTCAGTAAGCTGTCTGATAAATATTTCAACACACAGCGTGCACAGAGTTACCCCTTTTGTTGCACTGTGCTGTGGCAGACACTGTGAGCGCACCTCACAGAATCCGATATGATGGAGTTAAACTCAAACGACCAAAAGCACAAATTTTCTCATTTACTTCCAAGTGTTTCTGGCCGAGCAGATACTTCTGGTTGTATGTGCCAAGATTTAAATTTTTTTTTTTTTTTAAATATATCTTTGCCTCTGAAGCTTGGCTGCTAATAGAAAGTGAAAAGTGGAACTTTGAGGAAGTAAGAAAACTGAATTCACACTAGAAACTTTATATAACACTGGCCACAAATCTATGGGCTAATTTTGAAATGCTAAAGATGGCAGCAGTGCTGCGTCTGCCCCCAAAAAGCTAAACTTCTCGTAAGCACTGACCCATGAACATGGTAAAGGTGCAAGCCCCCACAGGCGTATAAGGTGTGGGTAAGATACCTTGTTAAAAATCTTTTATTGGGCTTACTGTATTCATAATCTGAACGAGCAGCAACAGCAGCAGACACGCTGATCGTGTCAGCAGTCAGAAGCAGATAACAGAACAAAGTTAACCAACGTTTTTTCCAGTCAGATCTTCATCAAAAATCTGTTCACATGGCTTTTTACGGCCATATGAACATAGAAGTTAAGGACGAGGGTTTCTCCAGATACATTTACATAGAGTCTTCAAAATAAATGTTCAAAGATGGCTGCTGAGAGGCAAGACTTGCTTCACACTGTTATTTGTGGTGATCTAAAAATCTAAAAAGTTTGTTACTCATGATTTGTTCATCTAATATTTCTGTTATTGTTACCTGCTATCAGTTATCAAGCAGACTAACAATGAATCTCATATTAGTGGAGAAGGTGAGAGGATATTACACACACTGGTTACAAAAATGTGTTTCGCAAGTACATCAGCAATGGGGCAAAAAAAACAAAAATAAAAACACAAAAAAACTAATCACCTACTTAGAAAGTAAACTCTTTTCTTTTGGAAAGACCGATGAAATAAAGTGGTTTCAGAGAAACCCCCGGTGTTTTTGGACAGAAAAAAAATGAGACATACGTTTAATACCTGGATTCATACAACCTTACAAGTATCTGCATCGCTCACCAGCTTTATCTGTGGAGTATATAAGTGAGAAAATGCCATGTGCATCTGAGGAGAAATAAATATACAGCTGAAGTGGGAAAAAGAATTCAACATTTGGCACTTAGGCTGTTACTTCATCGAGGTGACTTCCACTCTGCCCGAGGATCAGCGATAACTGAAGTATAACTTTAAACAGAAAATGGAGGGCCTCCTGCAGCCAACTGAGAGAACCTGCTACAGTCATTTCTCGTTTAATCCCTTGGAGGCTGTAAAGAAGCAGATGCCAATACTGAGGTCTCCCACACCAGTGAGGTTGAGGGGGGGCAAGTCAGAGGAAACAAACATCCCAGAATGAGAATAAATCTCTGTTGAAGTGTGAAATGGAGAAAGAAGCATGGAGACTCTGAAGCCCCACCCTTTGGCACTGTCATAAATACAACTCTTGAAAAATAAAATTAATTGAAAAAAAACAAAAAAAACAGGTGCTGCTGCACAAAAATAAAACTTCTAGCTTAGCGCACTCATCATTCTCTGAAAGTCAGCAAACCCACTCTACAAATTTAAAAAAACAAAACAAAAAAACCCACAAACATGTTCATAAATATAGTTCATAAAGACATGAGTGGCATTAGAGGGAACTCTGTGGTTACGTCGTCCGGGGGGTATGTTGCTTTAGCTCCGTCCAGGATGAAAAAGAAAGAAAAAGAAAGGTGAAGTCGTATACAGAGAAGCGTCGCACTGAGAGTCTCTATCCTTTAAAAAAAAAAAAAAAAGGTTCCACTTTAACGCTTGT